TCAGCCTCGGCCTCCCGGGATTACAGGCGTGAGCCACTGCGCCCGCTAATTTTGTATTTTTAGTAGAGATGGGGTTTTGCCATGTTGGCCAGGCTGGTCTTGAACTCCTGACCTCAGGTGATCCACCCACCTTGGCCTCCCGGGATTACAGGAGTGAGCCACCACGCCTGACCTTCATATTTTAAATGAGGATAATAGTAACAATCTCAGAGTTGTCTCAAGATTAAATAAAGCACTTAAAGGACTGAGTATAGTTCTGGAACACAGAAAACAATAAGTTGCAGCACAGAATATTATTTACCAAAGGACCATATATAGAGAGCTCTTCTGAATACTGAAAAACTCAATATACACAAATTAGATTTCTAAGGCAGCTCTCCATGGTGGCAGGTACGTAGTTGCTCCATCCAGCAACCCACCAGGACTAGGGTTGGCTCTAAACTCCTGAGCCCCCAGACCACTGCTATCACTGTCTCTGTTGGCTGACAGTGTCCTCTGCTGGTGGGAGAAACATCTTGCCATTTACTTCATCTGTTCTGGGCCCAACAGAAAACTAATAGAGATCATAAAAAGCTGTCTAGTGACATACAAGACTTCTAATCCCCAATATACTATATCCAGGATGCTGTGAACAGGAAGGCTGCTAGAATTGAGAGAGCCAGTAGGTCTGGAAATACTTCTGTTTGAAGTACAGCTTTGCCATTTCTAGGGGATGTTACCTTAAACAGGACTCTTAACCACTCTGAGAATCTTCTTTAATCTCAAACATGAGAAAAAAAATACACTAGCTGTCTCATGAGGTTGTTGTAAGGATTTAGATGAGATGAAATGTGGAACTCGCTCCCAGAGGGCCAACATTCTTTACATACTAATTCTCGTCCTAATTCCCAGAGTTCATGGTAAATAATGGGAAGGAAAACCAGCCCAAGGTCACCTGCCTTCATACTCTATATTCCAGAAAATAAACAAAATAGTCAATTCACTTAATGAAAATCCAAAATTATTGAAATTTGTGAGATTGTTCTCTTAAAGGTGCCTTAAAGTTGTAGCATTCTTTACAGGTGGTTACAGATACAGAATTAAAATCAGGGATGTGGTGAAATTAGAACACTTGTACAATGCTAGTGGGACTATAAAACGGTATGGCAATTTCTCAAAAAATTAACCATAGAATTACCATATAAACCAGAAATTCTGCTTCTGAGTATGTACTCAAAAAAACAGGAACTTCAACAGATATTTGTACATCTCTGTTCACAGCAGCATTATTCACAATAACCAAAAGGAAGAAGCAACCCAAGTATCCATGGACAGATGAATGAATAAACAAAACGTGATACATACATACAACGGACTATTATTCAGCCTTAAAATAGAAGGGAATCTTAACATGCTACAACATGGATGAACCTTGAAGACATCGTGTTAAGTGAAATATGCCAGTCAAAAAAGGACAAATACTGTATGATTCCACTCATTTGAGGTACCTACAGTGGTCAAATTCATAGAGACAGAAAGTAGAATGGTGGTTGCTAAGGGTTAAAAGGAGGGAGTTGTCGTTTAATGGGTACAGAGTTTCAGTTTGGAATGATGAAAAAGTTCTAGAGATTGGTCATGGTGATCGTTGTACAACTGCGTGAATGTATTTAATGCCACAGAACTGTATACTTAAAAATGGTTAAAATGGTGAATTTTATATTATGCATATTTTACCACAATTTGAAAAAGAGAAGACGGAAGAAGGAATGAACTGTGATTTGAACATGAACAAATGATTTTGTGGACACTCACTGACCTACATAACTATTCGAGGAAGATACAGAGGTGGACTGGAGGTACTACTTCTAGTTTCTAGTTGGATCTTCACAACTAGAAACTAGAACAGCAATAATCCATACTGTTCTTCTACTTAAAATTTTCTAACGGATTCATATTACAATTAGAATAAAATCCTACCTGGCCAGAAATTAGAACTATCATTCATTGCTGATGGGATTGTAAAATATCATAGCCACTTTGGGAAACAATCAGGTAGCTCATCAAGATGTTAAACATTGGCTGGGCGCGGTGAATCACGCCTGTAATCCCAGCACTTTGGGAGGCTGAGACAGGTGGATCACGAGGTCAGGAGATCGAGACCATCCTGGCTAACACAGTGAAACCCTGTATCTACTAAAAATACAAAAAAATAGCTGGGCGTGGTGATGGGCACCTGTAGTCCCAGTTACTCGGGAGACTGAGGCAGAAGAATGGTGTGAACCTGAGATGCAGAGCTTGCAGTGAGCCGAGATCATGCCACTGCACTCCAGCCTAGGTGACAGAGCGAGATTCCATCTCAAAAAAAAAAAAAGATGTTAAACATTGTTATATATTATATCACTCTTAGGTGTATACTCCAGAGAAATAAAAACTTATGTTCACACAAAAATGTGTACAACAATATTCACAGCAGCATTATTCATGATACCCAAAAAATAGAAACAATTCAAACGTCCATTAACTGATAGATGAATTAACAAAATATGACATATCCATCTGATGGAAAGAGGATAAACCTTGAAAATATTACGCTAAATGATAGAAGTCAGTCATAAAAGGACACATATTGTATTATTTCACATATATGATATGTCTAAAATAGGTATATCCAGAGACTGAAAGTAGATTAGTGGTTACTACAGGCTGTTGGGGAGAGAAGGAATGGTGAGTAACTGCTAAGGAATATAGGCTTTCTTTTAGGAGTGACATGTTCTGGAATCAAATAGTGGTGATAGTTGTTGTACAATTCTGTGAATATACTAAAACTACCTAATCATTTTAAAATGGTGAATTTTATGGTATATGAATTGTATCTTGATACAACTGTTTTTTTTATATATATATATTTTTTGAGACAGGGTCTCTGTTGCCCAGGCTAGAATCCAGTGGCACAATCACAGCTCACTGGGTTCAAGCAATGCTTCCACCTCAGCCTCCCAAGTAGCTGGAACCACAGGTGCACACTACACCTGCAGTCAAGCGATCCTCTTGCCTTGACCTCCCAAAGTGCTGGGATTACAGGTATGAGCCATCACAGCCAATCTGGATAAAGCTATTCCAAAAAACAATAATAAAATGCCACGTGGTTTCAACAGGCTATAGGATTTGGCCCTCTACAGAATCATCTCCTACTACTTTTCCCCTCACACAATACATTCTAGCCACCATAACCTTCTGTCTATCCCTCAAAAAGATCCAAATTCTATTCTGCTTTAGAACCTTTGTACTTCCTCCTGCCTGGAAGGCTCTTCTCTCAGGTTGTTATAAGGTTGATTCTGTGTCATAATTTGGGACTTAGCTCAAATGTCTCCTAAGAGAGGACTTCCTTAACAACTAAAATAGCTCTCTACCCTCTTCCTCCCTTACTTCTATCCCCTTAACCTATTTTATTACTCTTATAGCACCTTATCACCATCTGAAACTATCTTATGTGTTTATCAATTTGTTGTCTATCTCCCCCTTCTAGAATGTAAGCTCCACAACAGCTGGGACCTTGTCTGTCTTGTTAATCTCCATGTTCCTAGCACCTAAGAGTATATGACACATAGTAGGAGCTCAATAAATATATGTTAAATAAGCGACAATAGAATTCAAGGTCTAAGTCATAACATAAATTATACACCTTGAAAACCATTGTTTAAATAGAAATAATGTTAGTTTGGCCGGGCGCGGTGGCTCAAGCCTGTAATCCCAGCACTTTGGGAGGCCAAGACGGGCGGATCACAAGGTCAGGAGAACGAGACCATCCTGGCTAATCCGGTGAAACCCCGTCTCTACTAAAAAAAATACAAAAAACTAGCCGGGCGAGGCGGCGGGCGCCTGTAGTCCCAGCTACACCGGAGGCTGAGGCAGGAGAATGGCGTAAACCCGGGAGGCGGAGCTTGCAGTGAGCTGAGATCCGGCCACTGCACTCCAGCCTGGGCGACAGAGTGAGACTCCGTCTCAAAAAAAAAAAAAAGAAATAATGTTAGTTTGCTAACAAATCTCTGCTTACAGTAAATATCAGCTACTGTCTACTTAGCTAAGATTGTTCCTAAAGACCTCTGTTTATACCTCAGAGAACATGTTGCCTTCATGTGCATCAGTAGCTATTAACCAAGTCAGAGTTCTTGGTTTTGGGGATCTCTTCTCCTTTCAGCCTAATTCCCTCAGGTTAGTTCTGAAATTCTAGAAGCTCACCAGAAGACTTGAGCTTTGGTCTGGGCTATCTGACTTCTGCTGTTGGATAAAAGTAAGAGGGTAGGCCAGGCATGGCAGCTCATGCCCGTAATCCAGCACTTTGGGAGGCCGAGGCGGGCAGATCACTTGAGGTCCGGAGTTTGAGACCAGTGTGGCCAACATGGTGAAACCCCATCTGTCCTAAAAATACAAAAAAAGGTATCTGGGCACGGTGGCGCCACCTATAATCCTAGCTACTGGAGGTTGAGGCATGAGAATTGCTTAAACCTGGGACGCAGAGGAGGTTACAGTGAGCTGAGATGGTGCCACTGCACTCCAGTGAGATTCTGTCTCAAAAAAACAAGAAAAAGAGGGTAGTCTAGTATAGTGCCTCTCCAATGTTAATGTACATCCCCTTTGGACCTTGTTAAAGGACAGATTCTGGCTGGGTGTGGTGGCTCACGTCTGTAACCCCAGCACTTTGGGAGGCCATGGCGGGCAGATCACCTGAGGTCAGGAGTTCGAGACCCGCCTGACCAACATGGAAAAACCCGTCTCTACTAAAAATATAAAATTAGCCGGGTGTGGTGGCGCATGCCTGTAATCCCAGCTACTCAGGAGGCTGAGGCAGGAGAAATCGCTGAAACCCGGGAGGCGGAGGTTGCGGTGAGCCAACATCATGCCATCACACTTCAGCCTGGGCAACAAGAACAAAATTCCGTCTCAAAAAAAAAAAAAAAAGATTCTGATTCCGTCGGTATGGGTGGAACCTGAAATCTGCATTTTAAGTAAGCTCTCAGGTAATGCCTATCCTGTTGGTACACATGACCGCACTTTTTGAGTAGCACTGGATGAGACAATGAAGCAGTAGGCAGTAGTTTCTCATTCAATATTTTGGCTAGTATATACCAAACAAAATATAGCCCAGTGATTCTGTATTTGTATTCTATAACTTAGCGTTACTATTCCTTCTCCAGTTGCAGAATTCCAAAGGTCTACTGTTATATACAAGTATGACAAATCTTGGGGCTAAAACTTTTTCAAAATGAACACATTAATCATTGGAGAAACATGATTTACATTATAGGTAATATTTATCACCAGTTTGTGTAGAATAAACTACACTTATATCTTCAGGTCACTTAGGATCCCAGCTCTAAACAACAGGGAAAGAGAAATTAAGAGAACATGAGTGAGTGCGGGTATCTAAAATCTCTGTCCTGTACGAACTAATTACTTATTAAACAGTAAATTCAGCTTGTCTCTGCCTGGCAGCCCTGAAAGAACATGAGAGTAGGATGGGGGATAAGGAAACAACTTAGCAGGTAAGAATGGGGCCTCTATTTCACAGGAGAACTACCTCATACCTTCTCAGAATGTCAATTTTCCAAACTTCAAAGAAGAGACACCTGATGAGCAGCATGCAGGTATATACAATGCCTATTCCCCAGCCATTACTTGGCAATCTCACCTCTAGGGGAAGGTAGGTATGCTTTTGTTCCTGGCCAACCTGTAGGCAGGGCAGATGGGGATACTTGAGCTGAAGGTTATATTTCTGCTTGAAATACTGTGCCACTGTGCACTCCACAGTCTGTCCACTCTCCAGCTGTAAGGGGAATCTGTTCAGAAGAAGGGAAGGAAGGGGGTGTCATAACCCAGCATTCAGTCCCACTTCTCTAGACCCACAACCATGGGAAGTCCCAGACTTTTTCCTTTTTTATTTGGCCCCAATATGATGTGCAGGAAGGAAGTCCCAGACTTTGCTTCATCCTATCCAACTTCTTTGAGCATCGCCACTCATGGGAAAACAGGACATACAGGGCTTCAAGAAAGAAGCTAAAGGTTTGAAGGGCAAGTTCCACAAAAGTCAGGATACTATCTGACTCATTTATTTCCAATATTGAGCATAAAGCCTAACACAGAGTAGACACTCATAATATAGTGTAGCCTAAGGTCAAGAATGGGAATGGAATCAATGACAGCTTCCCCAAGGAGCCCAGGAGCCTAGCTTTCTTTTTTCAAGAGAAATAATAATTAGAGAGAGATTCTAACATTTACCTAACCCTAACAGGAATCAGAGAACACACTTGCTCTAAAGTAAAGGACCAAAGAGGCAAGGAGATCAAGAAGGTAAAAATGGTAGGCAGAGTATCAACAGATCAGAGAAGATTGAGAAAGGATGCCAAATTCCCACAGCTTATCTTCAAAAACAGGGCCAGTCCCCAAGGTTCATTCTCAAGGCCAGTGGGGGAAGGAGGGAGGGAAAGATAGTGAGTTTTAAATCTCAGCCCTTCTCCACCAACAAAGTATGACTCAGCACCCCTGCCAACTTACGTCTGATGGCTAGCAGGGCGACGGGTAACATTACACACGCGGTATTTCCTCTTCATCTGTCCACAGTGGGTGACTTCCACCTTCAGGCCTGAGATACACACACTGCTTGTCAGGGCTGAAATAGGTTGCTCAGGTGCCCAGCCTTGGCTTCTCCCCTGAGCATACCCCAAGGGGATTTCCTCTTAGGGCTCAAGTGGAGCTGTTTCCCTTCCCCTCCTGTTGGGTCCTCACCCTTGATCTCCTTGGTGAAGCGAACGCGCTGAGAGTCCGTGAGGGGCTTGGGCTGCTCATCTATGTTCCTGATGTCCAGCACCTCACACATGAACTCAATCACTGGCTGTGCCTTATAGAAGGCAGTGGCTGAGACTGTGGGGACAGGGTAAAGATAGCTCAGCTCAGGTTCTGTCTTCCACAATACATGGAGGTACAGCAATTTATACCCTCTTCCTTATAGGGCATTGGGATGGGGGAAGGGGGAGCCAGGGCTGTAGGAATTAGACTAGGAGTGTGGTTGCAGAGCTGGGAGGGATGAGGCTGGGAGTGTGGTCACTGGACTTGGGGTGCCCCTAGCTCCATAGCTCTCCCCACTCACCATCAATGTTGAGCATCATCTTCCACATGGCAGGGCGCACAGACTGGTGAAAGCCGAACCAGACCTCGCGCCCACCCCCCAGCGGGTGGTAGTAGCCCTCAGGCGGTGAGAAGAAGGAGCGGCCCACAGGGGTGTACCTGGCAGGGACAGGCAGAGAACTGGTCCCTCGGGCACAGGCCCCCACCCTGTGAGGCATCCTGGGCACGGAGGAGCCCTGGCCTGAAAGGCAGGACACCGGGGCTTTAATGCCAGCTCTGATGCTTTACTAGTTGTATGACTGACCTTGTGCAAGTTTCTACCTTCTCTCTGCCCTGCAGGGACAGATGGGATGGGGCCCAAAGATATCTAAGAAGTTCAGGGCCAGGGCTTTAAACCATCTAAATATAAATACACACTTGCCTGGCAAGTAGTAGGGCTTCAAATAAATTTTTTTTTTTTTTGAATGGCACACTGTGGGACCTTAATATGTGCTCCCCCTCCTCCCCTGACAGCAGTTCTGCCAACACTAGTAGCCCAGATACTAACTACACCCAATACCTCATGGATGCCAGGTGCCTCATGGCCACATCCAGGGCTTGCACAGACTCCAGGGGAACAGGGATCTGGCCGCTGACCAGGGCCTCATGCAGCATTCGCCAGCTCACAATGGCTAGCCACTTGATGGAGACCTTAAAGATTCGATCCTTCCCTTCCCCAGGGATTGTCACCTCAAAGTCGACCTTCAGGAGGGTGAGAGAAAGGAGTGAAGGATTGCCATTGCTCTACGAGAATGACCCCCAACTCCATGGATTTGCTGAGAATATGTTTCTCAAGTTGACAGGGGCTCATAATGAAGACCCCAAAGTAAGTCCAGCCCCTTAGGTTCTAGCCACCTTGGCTCAGTGCTTCTCTTCCTCTCAACTACCTCTCAGCCTAGCAGGAAGTCCTTTAGGTCTATTTTAAGTCTAATCTCAATCTGTTTAGGACACGAACAGGCACATGAGACTAAATAAACATCAGCACCTACCCACCCCTCACCCTAAAACATACTTTCTCAGCACAAAAGATGAAAAGGATCTCTGGATCACCAGACTCCAAAGAGGCTTACACGAGCTTGGTTCTACCCCAGACCCCTGACACAGGCCTAGCCTGACTCCCAACCTTACCCGTTCGTTGCCAATGGGCAGTGCTGTGACAGTGTAAATGTTCTTCTTTCCATCATACACAGGCTTGCGATCACCAAAGATCTGAGGCTTGAAATGCTGGACCATGTATTCCACCACTTCCCTGTGGGGGATAGGAGTGGCCTGTGGAAGCTGAGAGACTACCACCACTTCAAGCTTTTGGAAGTAATTCAAAGTCCAGGCAATGTCCCATCTATTATACTCACTCCTAACATCTACTCTATGACAGTGCTTCTCAAACTTTAACTTTCCTATGAATCACATGGAGATTTTATTAAAATGTAGCTTCGGATTCAGCAGGTCTAGAGTGAAGCCTGAAATTCTGCATTTCTAACATGCTCCCAAGTGACACTGCTGGTCCTCAGACCACCAAGGCTCTAACAGACCTGAAAGAGTGGTGTGAGTGCCTTCTGAGAAGAGGGGGAGGCTAAAGGGAGAAAAGCTTGACTCCAGGGTCTATCAAGAATCAGGAATAGGGCTAGGTATGGTGGCTGACACCTGTAATCCCAGTACTTTGGGCAGCCGAGGCAGGAGGATCACTTGAGACTAGGAGCTCAAGGCTAGCTTAGGCAACAGAGTGAGACCCCATTTTCTACAAAAAAAAAAAAAAAAAAAATTTTTTTTTTTAGTTAGCTGGGTATGGTAGCATGTGCCTATAATCCCAGTTGCTTGGGAGGTTGAGACAGGAGGATCACCTGAGGCTGGGAGTTTGGGGTTACAGTGAGCTATAATTACACCACTGCACTCCAGACTGGGGAACACAGTAAGAGCCTGTCTCAAAAAGAAGAAAAAAAAAAGAACAGCCAGGTGCAGTGGATCATGCCTTTAATCCCAGCACTTTCGCTTGAGCTCCCGAGGTTGAGACCAGCCTAGGCAACACAGAGAAATTCCATCTCTACAAAAAATGCAAAAATTAGTCAGGCATGGTGGTGTGTGCCTATAGCCCCAGCTACTCAGGAGGCTGAAGTGGGAGGATCACTTGAGCCTGAGAGGCAGAGGTTGCAGTGAGCTGAGATCATGTCACTGCACTCCAGTCTGGGCGACAGAGCCAGATCTTGTCTCAAAAAAAATTAAAACAAAACAAAAAACAAATCAGGAACAGAATCTAGGCTGCTCCAATCTCAAATCCCAGATCTGATAAGCAAAAAAGGTAGAAGAGATGTGAACTGGAATAAGAATAAACTGTGGAAGAAAAATCTCATCTCTTCCATCTCTCTGAAGCACTTAGTCTCACCACCCTGTTTTTTCTCCATTACCATCTCTTACTTTCTGTCCTCTGAAACTTAGACCCCACGGTGTCCATTATTCCTTCAAAATTCCAGTTTATCTAACCAACTGACCTTCACACTTTCTAAATCAAAGTTCTTGAATACTACTGGATAACACAAATGGTACATTAGAAGCAACTGTGATCATATGGTTTCAATCCCAATTAGGCTTCAGTGCTGCCTAGCAATCTTTTTCATGTCCCTGATTACTTCCATCCCTCCTACTCTATGTAGACTATGTAGAACTTTCTCTACTAGCCTGTAACTCCAGAACCCATTCCTGTCTCCTATCAGGAAGCAGCTCTAATATCTTTAAAAAAGGCAGAGGATAGTACACAAGGCCACCCTCGAGTTACCAGACATATACACAAACATATTAATATGTGCGTGCATCAATTTTTCTCCTTTCCTCTTACACTCAAAATGACCCTTCCATGTATTATTTTTAAACATATGAAAATATATTCAACTTCACTTATTAGAAAAATACAATTTAAAATTAGACCAAGATCAGGATGCCAAAGATCAAAAAAATCTCAAATATCAAATTGGTGCAGGTATAGGAAGAGACACTCTGATGCCTTATTGATGGGAGTATAGTTGGTACAACTTACCTTTAAAAACAAGTTGCAATATCTGAAAACTCTGAAATGTATTAGGCCAACAGTCCCACTCCTAGCAATTTATCCTACAAATACACTCATATTTGAGTGCAAAAATGAATCTATATATAATAATATTCAAGTTTCATTTTTGTAGCAGAATTTAGACTCAAATGTTCCTCAATAGATTTATTATATAAGTTATATCACAGCCACTCAACCTATGCAAAAGAATGAGGCAGATCCATATGTGCTGGTATGTAATACCTTCAAAAATATATTGTTCAGTGGAAAAATGCAAAGTACAGAACAATGTATAAAGAACCCTGTTTTGGGTGTTTAAAAATGTTATATGTGCATATATGCCTGCACATGTGTAGAATAGTATACGGAAGCATATTCAAGAATGGTAACAATTGGCCGGGCACGGTGGCTCATGCCTGTAATCCCAGTACTTTGGAAGGCTGAGGCAGGCGGACTGCTTGAGGTCAGGAGTTTGAGATCAGCCCAGCCAACATAGTGAAACCCTGTCTCTACTAAAAATTTTTAGCCAGGCGTGGTGGCAGGTGCCTGTAATCCCAGCTACTCGGGAGGCTGAGGCAGGAGAATCGCTTGAACCCGGGAGGCAGAGGTTGCAGTGAGTTGAGATCACGCCACTGCACTCTGGCCTGGATGACAGAGTGAAACTCCATCTCAAAAAAAACAGAATGGTAACAATTGGTCAGGTATGGTGGCTCACGCCTGTAGTCCCAATACTTTGGGAGGCATAGGTAGGCAGATCACTTGAGGTCAGGAGTTTGAAACCAGCCTGGCCAACATGGTGAAACTCTGTTTCTACTAAAAACACCAATAAATTATGTGATGGGGGGCACCTATAGTCCCAGCTACTCAGGAGGCTGAGGCAGGAGAATCATTTGCCTGTCATCCCAGCTACTTGGGAGGCAGAGGCACGAGAACTGCCTGAACCTAGGAGGCAGAGAGTGCAGTGATCTGAGATGGTGCCACTGCACACCAGCCTGACAGAGCCTGAAGGAGGCTCTGTCTCAAAAAAAAAAAAAAAAAAAAAAAAGGTAACAATTAATGGTACTGGGGGACTAGAGACCAGGATAGTAAGGAGACATTTTTCACTACAATCTTTCTGTGATATTTGAATTTTTTTATATTATACATATAGTTTTCAAATAATAATAAAATTAATTAATTAAAGAAATATCGCAGAGGCCAGGCACGGTGGCTCACGCCTGTAATCCCAGCACTTTGGGAAGCCGAAGCGGGCAGATCACCTGGGGTCAGGAGTTCAAGACCAGCCTGGCCAACATGGTGAAACCCGTCTCTACTAAAAATACAAAAAAAATACCCGGGCATGTTGACAGATGCCTGTAATCCCAGCTACTCAGGAGGCTGAGCCAGGAGAATCGCTTAAACCGGGAGACGGAGTTTGCATTGAGCTAAAATAGCGTCATTGCACTCCAGCCTGCGCAACAAGAGCAAAACTCCACATCAAAAAAAAAAGGAAATATCACTTTCTCTAAATAGAGCTAATCCCTCCAACTGTGCATCCTACAATGTCCTTCGGCCTCATCAAGGACATCCCATTAATTTCTCCCCTCTATCCCAAACTTTTAACTTCATCTTTACTACCTCCTTCTCCTTAATCTGTAAACATACCCATATCTCATTCTTTAAAACTCTTTATTCATTCAACTAATATTGAAATGTAGTAGGCACTGTACTTATTTCTTAACTCAATATAGTTAGATTAACTAGCTCAACTACTTTCTGCTGAAATTGCTCTGCCAAAAGTCACTAATAATCTTCTAATAGCGAAGTCCAATTGGACTATTTTTCAGCATTTATCCTACTTGGCATCTCCTTCTCAAAAACTTCCTTAGATTTGGTGATACTACCCTCTAGTGGTTTTTCTTTTACCTTTCTGGCCCCTCTTTCAAGGTTGGTGTCTTTCAGATTTGGTAGCTTAGGTGTGCATCACTTACCGGTTGACTCTACGGGGACACTTATCCGGCTTGATGTCCACCTCGTAGTGGTACACGTCGATCTTAGGGATGTCCACCTCAAAGTAATTGGCCAGGAGCTTGATTGGTTTCCCCACAGTGCCAATGCCAGGCCGGCGAGGTGCCTGGAACACCTGCTGCAGGGGGGGCAGGTAAGCGCCCGCAGCTACGAGACAAAGAGGCTGGTGAGGGTAAAGTCTGATAATCTCCTAACTACTCTTATCAGAGAAGGAACAAGGCCTCCCAGAACAGGAACATGAGAGTATAGAGAATGCCTCTTTCCTGCTACCCAACCCAGCCGAGGGCTTCCAGGGGACATCTCAAGCTCATCTGTGTGTTTTTGTTTTTGTTTTTTGTTTTTTTTAAATCTCTCTCCAGTTAGGAAAATTATCCTTATTGTCTACTTTAAATTCATTAAGTTCATATATAATAAGTTCCTATTGCATGTTAAGCAGAGAGACTAAATCTGGTTCCTAGTAACAGAACCCTTTCTTTCTTCTACTAGAGTAAGACACTTGCCTTCACCAGGTATCTAGCAGACCAAGAATTTCTATTCTCTGCCAGCCAGATGCTCACTCCATTCATCACCATGCTGAACACAAAATGGCATAACCTTTATGTTCCTTTATAGGTGGGCAGGAAGAAGATCCAGAGAAGGCCAGGTTAGGGAGGGCAGGGTCAGTGTTTGAGGCAGGATTAGGGCAACTGAATGGTGAGAGTTGGAGAGAGGGAAAAGGAGAAAAGGCTCAAAGGATAGTTTGGAGACTAAGGAAAAGAGAAAGGGGGCTGGAGAACAGGACAGAGCTGGAGGTCACAATAGAAAAAGGCAAGGAGAAGGAGAGAAGGCTGGAGTTAATGGGTGGGGCAGACAGGAAGAAACAAAGCGGCAATTGGGGAGGCAATGATAAAAAAAAAAAAAAAAAAAAAAAGGCTCAAAGGATAGTTTGGAGACTAAGGAA